GGAACATGTTTCTATATTTCCAGGTGGTGGCACCTCTTTGATCTTGTTTTTAACTTGGCAAGCGAATATCGCTTATATTATTTCTATTTCTTGGAATTTAGTATTTCGTTGAGGCCTTGCAAAGATTTTCCAAATTTAGATATTTGGAAAATGTCATCGGACTTCACAGAACACACTTATTCTCTAGGAAATACTTATAGTGCTTACTGAATACAGCTTTTATTTGAGGACAAAGGATACAGTGAAGCAAAAGGAGGAGAGGGCAGACAAAAGTTGGGGAAATCCAAGAGACATTCCATGCACAAGCTCCCAGGAGTCCTCATTTACATACAGACTGTTCTCTGTTGCTGGATTGCACAATCAAAATCTGTGTGAGGAATCTCGGCTTCAGGACTATTTTAAACAAAAGGTATTAAGGAGGGTGCATATGGTTGGTGGGGAGGGGTGGGGTTATAATGTCTCTGACCATGTGATCAAGCCAGACTGGAAAACAGTTTATTTTTTTCAGTAAATAAAATGATGCTGGGAGTCACCAGGGGAGTTTCAGACTTTAAAGAGCATGTCATAAATGTTTTTATCCTGGCCAAAAGGCCAAACATCTACTGAGAAAAATATGGACCTTTTACAGTTCAGATATAAATCAACTCTATCCTCCAAAGGGCAGATATATGTGAAGAATCTTTGTTAATGTCCTATGCGTACTTGAAAAGCTGTGTTCTCTATTATCTGCATTCAGGATTAGATATAGGTTTATAGGATCTGCCTTAATAATCATGTTATATATGTCTTCAGTCTCCTTGCTAATTATTTACCCGCATGATCTAGTGATTAGCATGCATTTCTTTTTCTCATCATATCTCCTATAGTTTCTATAGGAGAGTTGTTAAGAAAAGCTGTTGCTGTGGTATAGGCTGCTTAAGTTTTAATCATTTATATCTTTATTGTAGGTTAGTGGCTTTAATAATGTGAAGTATATTATCTCTTTTGATGATTTTGAGCCCCAAAATAGGCTCCTGACCTACACTCATTATTAAATTATATTTTCCCATCTTGAATTGTTTTGACTTCATCATATTTCTGAATCATCGTAGAGTTGGATTTTGCTGTTTACTAAACAAAAATCTTTTTAAATTAATTCAGTTGCTATGGTTAGTCAATGCTGTTCTATTGCTTTATGGTATATGTGCATTTGTGTGTATCTTTTTTCACTTTAAGGTCTATTATCTTTTATATTATCTCTGTTTTTAAGTTCATTTAAGTAACTTCTATACCCAACATGGTATGACTCACAATCCCGAGATCGACAGCCCCATGCTTTTTTGACAGAGGCAGTCAGGTGCTCCTCTACTATATCCTTTTCTATTTTAGGGGGGAAGAGAAAGGATTATTTAAGAAAATATATGTTCCTATATGGTTTAAAGATCTAAAAACATGTTTATTATTTCTGTGTTATCAAATCAGTCATGTTATCTACCCCCATTCCAAATTTCAGTGTAGTATCTATATTTATGTTGCCATTATTACACAGGTTATCATGACTGCAGCAAAATGTTTCTTTCAGTAAGTCATGGAATACTTGGACCATTCCCTCTTCACAAGCTTTACAAGACAATCGTGTATAACGATACAGGGCTCTCCCTAAAGAGAGAAAAAAAGCAAGTGTGATCGCCTTGCTTAATCACACTGTCTTCCCAGCAATGACATCTCTCCAGAAGCTCATTGGTTTTCCATGGATGAGAATGATCCCCAAAACAGTGCCTGCATCTCATCGAGGTCTCTCTAGACAGGACCAGGAAAAAACCTCAGCCTCCCACACAGACTCCACCTCAGGTGGGTGTACCACTGAGAATTCCACTTTCCCCAGCCTCTCCTACGGTCCCAGTTTCCATCCACACTTTGACTCCAGGAAAGGTGGGCACCATTGGTAATGTCTTGTGTCTCTCTCTAACCTGAACTTACCTGTAACTCGATCAGTGTAGTAGTAGTGTTCTGTGGAACAACTCCTGTTACGCATCATTAGATTGAACTTCCAGCACTTTTTCAAGCCACTGCGGCATCTGTATCCATCAAAGTGGGCACATTGATAGCAAGATCGAATCACTAAATAAAGGAAAGATTTAAAGCAGAGTTCTAGGGAAAGTAATTATGCTTCAGAAGCCTGCCCCACTATCAACATTTACACTAGCATGGTATAGATCTCACAAGAAGGAAGTTGACACCCTTCCCAACTTCTGCCAAGGGTCTTTACACCTTTGAGTAGGTCATATGACCTGGAGGAGTCCAGCCCCCTCCCTCCTTCACCCAAGGCTCAGGGCAGTTAAAAAAAACACTAGAGCAGTGAGTGAGGACAGTGAAATATAGTCAGGGTGGGTAGAGAAACAATGTTTGAAAACAATCAAGAATGTCCCCTCTCATTGTGGCATTATTTATCCAAAAAATGCAAACCAACTACACCATACATTTCGCTGTCAGCACTCTGTCTCCTATGGAGAGAAGAAGAAAAATTGTCCTTGAGCCATTTTATAGCATCTCAAAAAGTCAAGTTGCTCCCCATATAGCCCCTCACCACCCATCCCTGCCTCTTTCACCAGGCTTTACCTTCATCCATGAAGAGCACTGTGAATATGCCCAGCAGAAGCAATGGGAACATCCTGGGGCCCATTCCTGAGACAATCCCAGCAGGAGGTTCCAGCTTTATTTATTCCCATCACCTGCCCTCAGGCCTCCCATTAGATCACAGAATTACAAATTTCAGATCAAGCCACCTGAATCCTCTCTACAATGTTCTGAGGAGAGGGTACATCATGTCTGTGTTTGCATTCCTCCAGATACTTGGGACTCACTCCATCCAGACACCCCGTCTCATTTTATTAGATCCAGAATAAGGTACTAATTAATGTTGGTATAGAATCTCTCTCCCTAGTACCTCATCACTTCGCTTGTAGTTCTAGTTGTTGGCCTACACGCAGCATGTAGGCCACAGGACAGCCTTTTGCACCTGACAAAGCTAGGGTCATTGAGCATCTGTGAGGGAGTTGCTCAGTCCCTTTCAGGCACCATAACCATCCTGGACACTGGCCTCAGTGTGACCTTCAATGGCACTACATCCCTCGCAAGGTGGTTCATACTCCAGATGTGGTCTGACTGCCCAGTATCCCACCTCTCTGCAAGATGGATGGGACACCTCAAGAAGGAGAGGGACGAGGAAGTGAAGATGATCTGTTTCCTTTGAATTTTATTCATTATTTGTCCAAGGGAGACAAAGACCATATGATTACAGTGGGAGAGACTTACACCGGGGGTGATAGGGATTAGTCACTAGAAATGGAGTGTCAGGGGGGAAAGGAGCAGGGCGGCCTGGAAATGAGTTTTCCCATTGGTTCTCTGCCTTTTCCTCTCCCTCCAGATGGTGCCACACAGTTGTGCCTCCCTGTGTCATATACCAAGTGTCACTAAGTGTCATCAGTGAGCCTTGGGAATAGACACATATGTAAATGAGAAATATTTGTATATAGGTACAAATTTCCCATTCCATGCTTGCCCCACCACTTTCCTGTTATCTCCCATGTGCCTAACCCAGTTGGTCATTCTAAGGTTTTTCCTTATTTATGTATCTTGTCTCTTTTGCCTCTCAAGGACAAAAGTGCCATGAACGCAAGATTTTCCTGTGTTGTGTTCACTGCTTCCTCCTCAGCACCTAGAAAGATGCCTTGCACCCTATCAGACAGTCAAAACTATCTGATGAAAGCATGAATGCATTCCTGGTATGGTTAACCTGGGAGGCACGAGGGAATGGTGCCCCCATATGGAGAGCCCCTAATTCCAAGTTCTCAGGATGACATTCCTTGCCTACCTCACAGCTGGTGGTCACCACAGAGAAGACAGGCATCAATAATGGCAGATTCCCGTGTCTTGGGGAAAGAGTGAGTGTGGGGCCCATTTCTCTGAGTGGGCTCATTCCCAGAGCCAATCACAGGCTACTCCAAGTGTGATTCCCAAATAATCTTCTCCTGCATATCTGGGATACAAGCCCAAATGTGCTACCTACCTGCCATGAGATCTTCGACAAGTTATTCACTTCTCTGAGCCTCTGGGACCTCACAGGTGGAAACAAGGACTGTCAGAGGTATAGCAGATATGGTTGTTAGGACGAGAGAAATTCAAGGATGGGTAATGGGCAGTAAGACCCTACTTGGTGTCAAACATTCTTTGGGCATGTTGTGCACTTGATTTCTCTGGATTTTCTGAACAACCACATAGGTCAGAAATAATTGACCTCATCTTCCAGTTGAAGCCCAAAGGCACTTAGGAAGTATTTTTCCCTAGGGAACAAGCATATCTGTTTGATTCATTGGGCTGTTTCTTTCTCTTTCCAATCTGGAGGAGGATTTCCAGAGCTGGAGATGACAGTGGGGAGAGAAGGAGGAGGAACAGGTAAGAAAAAGGGTGTCTCCATTTACAAAAAAGAAAGAAATAGATTCTCTCTCTACCTGGCGGAGACAACATTCACAAACTAACTCCCACTGAAAGTAGGGTGTCCTGCAAGCCAGGCTAGGATCTAAGACTTATTTTTTTTAAGATTTTATTTATTTATTCATGAGAGACACACAGAGAGAGGCAGAGATATAGGCAGAGGGAGAAGTAGGCTCCCTGGAACTGGATCCCAGGACTCCAGGATCCCACCCTGACCCAAAGGCAGATGCTCAACCGCTAAGCCACCCAGGCGTCCTGGATCTAAGACTTATGAGCCTCTGTCTGGTAAGTATGTCCCACAGGGACTACATCTGTGAGTCTTGCATTTGGACCAAGTGAGACACGGACACCAATCCATGGATGAAGTCCGGAGGGTCTGAGCCAGGAGAATCCACTAATGCTCGAAGCCCAAGACCCCATGTTCTGGCTGGGAAGATGCTCCTCCCCAATGATCTGGGCCCCCAGGGATTAAAATCTGCAGTGAATCCCAAATCTGTGCAACATGTCTTTCTCCTGTGTTCTTCCAGGCAACTTTCAACAATACTCGGATTAGAAGCAACAGAAGTTGTGGAAATACACCAAACTACCAAGAAGTACATAAAACTCCCTTTGTGCTTCCAAATGTGAGGAAGAGTGAACATTCTGGCATTCTTCCATATAAGAATGCTTCTGTACAGATACTACAGGTTCATGTTCATAACAACTGTCATAGCTGACATGGTATGTGTGAGGTTGTGGTTTGTTATTGTCGAGATGGTGCCTTTATCGATGTCCCTGGCTTCCCCTCCTAGGATGTGAGCCCCAGAAATGGCAGGAGTTGCAGCAACTGGTCCCCTGCAGCTTCCAGACTCAGCCAGACCCAGCCAGCAGCTTAGCCTTGCAACACCTCTCACCTGAGGGTCTTGGTGTGAGCCCCAGACACACCTTGGACCCCTGCGGCCACCTCTCCCTCCAGCAGACAGAGAGGGAAATGCCTCCATATCTGAGCTCCTGGAACCAGGGTCCCAGCTCTTCTCCCTGTTGGGGCTGAGAATGTGCACCTTCTCCCCTCCTCTCCTGGCTCCTACTCAAAGCCTTTCCACCCTGCTGCCCCTTCCTCGGTGGGAGGTTGTAGGACATGCTGTCCTGCTCCTGCCCTGCCCAGAGGCCCCACCTGTACCCACGCCCTATCTGGATAGATGGAGGAGAAGGCCATGGGCTTGAGGCCACATTTGGCCCCTTTGTAGTCAGCCCAATGTTGATCTCACCTTGCCTCTGCAGGAGGACAGTGAAAGGGCAGGGGATGTAGGGACAAAGAAAATTAAAACGGACCCTTTCCCCCAACCAACCCAAAGAAAGTTCCCTGCATTCAACAATATCCCCTTCAACCATTTCTGCCAACCTCAGAGAAGCACTTCCCTTGGCCCTGCTCAGCAGGGCGCACACCTGAGGGTGGGATTATCTGGTCCCAGGTGAGTCAGTGAGAGGAGGGAGACTCACTTTGTTACAGGACTTCATGCAGGATAAAGGAAGTGTGTGAAGGATGTCCAGTCACTTTTCTTCTGCATGCGCCAGCACACCTGCCTCACTGCCAAGCCTGCAGGGGACATGGGGTCTGGCTGATTAGCTCCCCTTGCCTCAAGGCCACCTAGGCCTGACTCAGACCAAGCTCCCTCTAGTGGCTGGACCCACCCCAGAATGCTGCCCTGCATGCCAGGATCTCACCCCAGAAATCCTTGCCCCTCTCTCCCATGCTCAACCCAAATCAACCTCCTAAACTGGCCTCCCCTTCCCTCCTCTAACTGTCCTCTGGAGTTTCTAGCTGTGGGCAGCCTAGAAGGTACCATTTTCCCAAATGGGTAAGTGAGTTGGGGATTGAAGCAACAGAGCCCCATGTCTTTATTTTATGCCTAAGAAACAGGACTGAACTGAAGTTTCACCACAACACAGAGGCAGAGGGAGCTCCTGAGCTGTGTTCCCTTGGCTGTCGGGTCAGGGATCATGTTAGACCAGTGACAGAAGCAAGGAAAAGGAATTTGGGGTCATTCATGGGCTCTGGGTCATGCCTTCTCCTTGGTTCACCTCCTACTACACGCCCTGCTTAGGACCTTAACTCACCTAACATAGTTGACGGGGCATCTATTGTGGGGAGGTGAGGAGTAACAATGGACTTCTTCACCAGGACTCCTCCTAAAGCTTTCTGTGTGACCCCCTTTCCTGAGGCTTTTCCTAGGTGGAGTCATCAGGATGTCAGTCTCGAAGGCAGAGAGGGCTCTGCTGTGAGGCCATCCCCTGCAGCCCTGTTCCATGATGCTAGCCCACTGCCTTCCAGCCCTTGCTCCGGTCGTTCCCCCAGAATTTCAGAGTGATGAGTGCAGGATGGAAGGTTCCGGGAAGCCACCCCCAAACAGCTAGGGGGCAGCTGTTCTCAACCAATTTCCAGGACTGCAGTAGATGCTCATATGCACCTTTTTTTTCTTTTCTAAAGTTTTGTTTAAATTCTAGGTAAACATATAGTGTAATATTGATTTCAGGAGTGGAATTTCATGATTCATCGCTTACATGTAACACTTGCTCAACACAAGTGCCCTCCTTAACACTCATCACCCATTCAGTACTTTCCTCTACAGGCCACTGGGACATTGACAAATCTGGCTGGAACCCAGGGACAGGTAGTTGTACTGCCCCCTGGCTGTAACCTCTGCTGTGCTTGTCTACCAAAGAAAAACCAGGTGTAATGCACAGGGGTGACTGAGGACAATTACCTGGGTTCCCACAAATTTGTTATAGAGTTACCCTGGGGAAAGCTGGACCCACCATCATGGGACAAAACTGCATGAAATTCATTATTTCTATTTCCCGAAGCAAAACTGAAAAGCATGTTCAGTCTTCTATGATCCCATCATGACAAAGTGCAAGAACATAACTGATGTAAGATGATGGAAGATTTGGCTGTATGAGAATCTCAGGAGCCGCACACCCACCCCTAGCCCAAGGAGGTAGCAGATGACTCAGCCAGCAGGCGACCCTCAGAGGTCAGCTGTCCAAAGAGGGTTATTGCCTAGGGGCCGCAGCTGCATGTCTGCCTGCCGTGGCAGGGAGACAAACCTGGCCGAGGGGCTAGTGTAGGAGGGACCTGCTAATGTTTAATGGTCTCTGAGGCTTAGGTTTGTCTTGTCTGGGAGTAAGCTGCAAGATCAAGAACAGTGTCTTCCAGAATGGCCTTTGAAGTCAGGGACTCAGGTTCAGAACAGACTGGTTTCTCTCAGATGAGTGAGCAAGGAAACTGGGTTCTGATTTACTGCAACAAGGTGAGATGTGGAGTTCTACAAACCAGCATGACCAAAAACTGAAGAACTATCCGAAGGATTGTGTAAATCCCTAAAAGGATCTCAACTGAATTGTTCTGGGGATGTTCTCCTTGTATCTCTTCCCCCATTACCAGACTGTTCTCTTGGTGATTTTCTGGGAATCTTCAAGTGCCTTTCTAGATGCCAAACTCCTAGGCACAAGTAGTTTATTCTAGAAGGCATAAAGAGGCTGGTTCAGGATTATTAGAAAGGACTCTATCCCCAAACCAAGCCCAGAGTCAGACCCAGCTTTCAGAATTTTGAATGTTGAGTCAATTTCACCTTTCCCTTTTTGTTTTCCCAAAGGCCTGACCCTGAGTCTCTCAAATCTCCCTATTTTGGAAGAGAGAAAATTCAGCTCTTCCCATAATGAGTGACAGACTGCATGAGAGCATCCAAGTCAGACTGATCACAAAGGTGTACAGTTCTTAAATGCTGCAATTATAGCATCTGTAATGGCAAGCTGTGTGCTACCTGTCCTCTGGGGTCTCACTGAGGATACTACTGCAACCTCTGTTCTGTCTCCCTGCCTGACTTTTCTAATTAACAACACGCCTCAGGGCACCTGAGTGGCTCAGTGGTTGAGCATCTGCCTTTGGCTCAGGTATTTATCGCAGGGTCCTGGGATAGAGTCACGCATCTCCCTCTGCCTATGTCTCTGCCTTCCTCTCTGTGTCTCTCATGAATAAACAAACAAAATCTTAAAACAACAACAACAAAAAAAACAAAAACCCCTCCCCAATATGCCTCTTCCCGCTGACACCGGAGTGCAGCAAGGGTGATATTAAGGATAGTTTCTAGATCCTGGGGTCCTGGGACAGAGTCCCCCGGCTGCCAAGGGCACGACTTGTAGACCACAAATTATTACAAACGACATTCTGCCTTAGGGCACAGAGATCATTTAAGAATCAAAAATGTTTACTCTTTGGACAGCCAGGCTCTATAAATTTAAAGCAGCTGCCTTTGGAAGCTTTGGGTTTCATAAGAAAGTTTGGATGGTCTGGTATCTACTGTGAGTCACAAGAGCGGCTCCCACATCCACCTATCCATCTTGCTATCTTCCTTCTTTCAAAGTGAATATTAAGAATATTTAGTCTTAAAATGTGGTTCAAAAAATAGTTTCAGGAATTCAGCGAGGTCTCTTTGCAGCCATGGATCAGCAATCAATCAGCAGAGACTCTGTTGTTTGAAAAAGATAGGATCCATGGCCTCATTTTTCTGCATATCTGTATATGCGTGCATGTAGGTACATGCGTGTGTGTGTGTGAGTATACGTGTGTGTGCGCGCAGGTCACGCATACCATTGTTTCCTGCTGAATGACTGAGAAGGGTGAGGAGGATATATACACCTCATGGTGATGAGCAGTCTTAAAGGGGAGGGAGCTTGGCACAGCAACATCACATAGGACAGTTTCTGTGGGGACAGGGATCCAAATCCCCTTTGAATGGCACAGCAGTGGTAAAGACCTCTGGACCACAGAACATATTGTTCCTATTGTTCTGCTCTAGGTTACAGAGGATCTTTTCTTTAAATATAATCCCTATGCCTGTCTGACTAATTCACTTTTCTGGAAACAATCTGTGGATTATTATATGTCAGTATATATACTAGTGAGGAGAAAGTGGGTCTGTTGCTGAGAGCAAGAAGTAGGGCACCTGAGGGTACCTGTTCTCAAGGTGGGGATTTATACTACGGAGGATTTAAGACAGACATGAACTTGAAGATAGACAACCATAGCCAGGAACTGGGTTGTGCCCATGAAGGCACCACTCATGATGGGTTTTCCTTTGTGTTTCTGTTATTATATCCCTCAAACCATGAGAATAGGCACATCCTGTGTGTAAAGCTTTGGTTTCTCTTATTAAACAATCCTTCTGATATAACATTCTAAAGTTTTAACATCCATACAACCCTTTAGTGTGGTATTACTAGGAATAAATGAATGGTACAGAAGTGCAGGCCTCCTGCTCTGTTCCTCAGCTGAGCCCCAAACCATGACAGCAGCATCTTCTCAGCTGAGCGTTACACTTCAGACCACCTAGGTTCAAATCCCAGGTCTGTCTCTTACTAATGATGCAATCATGCCCAAGTTGGTTAATTTACTGTGCCTCCATTTTCTTATTAAGAAAAGCAATTACACTAATGAGGCACTTGGGTGGCTCAGTCAGTTAAGTGTCTGTCTTTGGCTCAGGTCATGATCCCAGCATCCTGGGACTGAGCCTCCTATCAGGTTCCCTACTCAGCGGGAAGCCTGATTCTCCCTTTCCCTCTGCCCTCCCACTCTGCTCGTGCTCCGTCCCTTATAAATAAATAAATAAATAATAAATATATAATAATAATAAAATCTTTTAAATATTACACTAATTATAGTATAAATTAATACTGATAATTGAGTTAATTTTAAAAAGTAATTATACTAACCTCAGAGATTTTGTGACAATGAAATTTGATGATTCATGTAACTGGATCAGTAGAATAGTGTTTACTACAAGAAAATGTTCGCTAGATGTTTATGATTATGATTTTTTGTTTCTCTTATTAAACA